AACAAGAGATGTGACTAACTAATGTGATGACCACATATGGTCATGTGACCTCATCAAATATGCATAAATGTTATATCTCAAGCACTGTTACAGATAGGAAAATGCAACCAATGCAATATTGAAGTTATTGCACAACACAGCTGACAAAAACATCCGATGACCATATATGGTCATGGGACATCATTAAATATGCAAGATTGTAATACATTAAGCACTGTTACAGACAGGAACATGCAACATGTTTAGTATGAAGGCCATGCAATTTCCTTTAATATATTATTGTCAATGATGCTGATTTTGGAACGCTGCTAATAAGTCAGTGGGCTCGAAACCCGACATTGCTGCAACGCAGCTATATTTATTTTTATTATTAGAGGATGCTTACACGCGTAATCATTCCATATTTGGAATTCGCATTTCCTAATATGGTACTAGGTAGGATAAAAATATCCTGTAAAATACCGCAAAATTACGGTATGCTGTAACTTATGGTATTACGATGACAGATGTATAATAATTCAGGTTATCGAATGTTTTGCTTCTCTGCAGCTATTATTTGGAACAGTCTACCCACGGTTGTAAAAACTAGTTAAAATTCACTACGTTGAATTACCCACCATAGACTCCCGTCAGTCAAAATGACTTGTTTGAACTGTAGGCATTATTCAGCAATTCTGCCAATGACGGAGAGATAGAATCTAGGTCAGGGGAAGCCCCATGACCTCAAGACTCTTTTCCCTTACGTCACAAACCACGTGACCGAGGCCATATGACGGCGCCATTACAGCTGGCTAATCACTCTGCTTTTTCTAGCTTGGGTTGTTGCCGCTGACGCGGCATCTGACATTGTAGCTGGTAGGATAAGTTTTCCTTGTCATTTTTACCCTCGTGTCGTTTTCCACTTTGTGTGTAGCATTTTTCACAACAAAGAATTAAAACCCGGGCGACGTAGCTTAATCACTTGTTGGTTTCATGGCGGCACCTTTTACTACTGTAATTCGCTTTCCTCATGCATGTCGTCTTCATTTTATGCTTGATCTACGTATTTAGAAATGAATAGATGTAATGACTGCACCAGGGCTCAATGCCGTTTTTTTGTCTACTCGTTTTTGAGTCGACTGTGCAGTGGTTATATTCAGAATTTACCAGCATAGAACCCGCATCCGATAAGCTTTTTGCGGGGTTCGGGGTTTTTGCCTTGAAGACGTGTGCTTTTCACTGGAGTTCTGAGGCCTGAGTTATTTTCTCAGAGCCATCAAAATCACTGAGACTGATCGCGTCGCTCGTATTTTCACAGTAAAAATTGGTTAAAATGAGTTGCGTGTTTGGCATGAGTGGAAAGTCCTCACGCTTGGCTATCAGTGCTTCGTGTTCCAGGACGTCAAATAGGAGGCCCGACGGTGGAGGTACCCATATGTTTTCGGTCTCCCTCGCTGATTAGAGGGCATCCTCACAGGCTGTGTTTTCAGGCGGTGATTTACCCGATTTTACTGGCTACAGCGAGGATGTGCCCCTGGAGGTCTTTCCTCATATGGGGCCCATTGTGGGTCCCTTCGTGGATCCTTCCTCGCACGGCACCGGGTTTGCCAAGTTGAGGGCTTTGGTCGAAGGACTGTCGGAGCAAATTGCATCTCTGGCAGGCCGGGTAGATCAGACGCAGTCGGAGCGAGCTGCCTCCACTGCGGCCAACAGTGGGCAAGCAGGAAGAAACACAAAAGCATCGTTTGCATTCAAACACGTCTCTTCCGGGAACCCCCTGTTCCCAGCCGCGGCTCTCCCACTGATTTGAGTGAGGCCAAGGCTCAGGCTAGTTGCACCAGGTCTCCTCTGGGGCCTCGGGCACTGAATGCCAACGGGGTGCTGGCAGCCAAGCCTCTGATCTTGGGGCAGGGCTTTCGGGGCAGGGCACACGTTGCACCCCCCTACTTTCAGCCAGCCAGGGTTCGTCGCGCGATAATGGTACAACGGTAACGAATTTACCCTTGTGTCCGGTCTCCGCTGTGGGTTTTGACTCCCTTCTTACCGACCCACGGGTGTCCCCAGAAGGAACCGACCCTGTCATGAGATGCACAGTTGAACACGCCCTCTCGCATATTTAAAGTGGAAAAGAGACAGTTCGTTCGCGTCGGATACAGCTGGTACCTCGGGCGGTCCCTCAGAGTCTTCCATTCGTAACAACTCTGTGAGCCACGCCTTTCGGGTGATACGGAGTATCATCGATCCTAGTGACATCACGCCCTGAGGGCAAAGTTGCTTGAGTGCTTTATTGTGCGTGCCCAGGACTCTGAGGCCTCGGAGACAGAACGCACCAGCCTCCTAGACCAGGCGACACATTTACTGGTGGGCCACCGCGACATCCCCTAGTGTCACCTGGCTCTCTTTGCCGACAGACTGGACATCTTCCCCTCTTTGTTCGGGGAATGGTGGGTACTGTCTCAGAGCTTCGGAGTGCAATGAACTAGAGGGTTCAGATCAAATCAGTTAGCCAGTTGGCCCTGCCAAGGGTAAGCGGAGGGCACCCCAAGCACAAAAAACACAACGCCCTAGGGCGTCGTCCACTAGCCAGAGTCAGCCAGGAGGCAAGCGATCATACCCTTGCACAGGAGGGAAGAGTAGTGGCATGCCCCCAGGGAGGAAAGGGCCAGGTGGTGGTTCCTCACCCTCCTCAGGCGGTTGTCTACCCCAGCAGTGGGGGAAGCGTGTTTGACGCTTACCTCTGCGACCGGGGGAATAGGCATGTGTTCGGCGAGTGGCCAGGTCACAACTTAGTGACTACCTTGGGGAAACTCACCTCATGGGAGAAGAGAGCACCCACACCTCGCAAATGCCGAACCCATGGCCACATATCCCTGTTGTACACAGATTGCGGTTTGGAGACAGCAGGTGACCGATCCCTTGACCTTTCCAGGTAGTGACATTCTGTTACAGGATACCGCTGAAATCTCCATCTCCCTCGTCAGTGTCTCCCCTATTGGGCACTGCCAGGGGACCCCCGCAAGGCGGAAGCAATCAGGCAGGAAGTAGCAGTTTGCCGGAAAAGGGTGCCATACATAGGTTGGATCAGTCGGTGTTAAGTCCAGGCTTTCTACCCTTCTGTGTTCATAGTACCAAATTTACAGGTGGCCGGCATCCAGGTGTGTAGGCAGACTGAATCAGTACGTGCTCCTCGATCGGTTCTGCATGGAGACTCCATTCAGGGTTCTTCTCTAAATCCACCGTTTCGACTGGCTAGCCCCACTAGACTAAAGCGGGGCCTACATGCACATACCGATGCACCCAGCGAGTTGCCATCTCCTTCGAATCGCCCATTTGGGTTATGCACAGCACCCTACATGTTCACCAGAGTGATAAAACAGGTAGTGCTGCTGCTTCACCGCAATCCGTACCTAGACGACTGGTTACTACACAACCTTGACAAGGGGTTATTAGCCAAACACGTCAGGCTAACACAGGATTTACTTCACCAGTTGGCCTTTTTAGTAAATCTACAAGTTCCATCTTGACCCAATGCACAGTTGGTGTTCCTGGGCATAGAGTTTGACACAGAGGTAAGCTTGGTATAGCTATTTCAAGCATGTTGCTAAGCGCTAAGCAGCCTAGCCGAACGCCTAGTCAGCATTCCCTCAGTGTCCCTCCAAGAACAAATGCGAATCATCGGAATGATGACCTTAGTTCAAAGGGTGGTTCCCCAGGCCGCACTATGCAGTCGCCCGGTATAAAGCTTGTTGTTACAATGCCGAGCTCTCCTATGGGAGCTAGATAGGTGGGTTTTGAAGGAAGCCCTGCCCTGGTGGTCGTCACTGGAGGCCCCTTGGACCCACTCGCCGCAGGTATAACTCTGGTAACAGATGCCTCCCCCAAGGTTGGACGAACAAGCCCAAGGACATGGCCCCCGCATTAGTTTCGGGACTACCATATCAATCGGCTCGAAGCACTGCACTGCACTTAGCTTTCTACCCGTAGTTTGAAACCAACATTCCTGCTGACTCTAGGAGCCTGGGCCAGGGTCGCTTTGCTAACCCCGTGGACCCACTTAGTTGTGTACGCCTTTCCTCCCTTCCCGCTAGTTCACCGGGCACCGGAGAAAACTTTGACAGGTGCACACCTGCATATTGTCATTGGTCGCACCCAATTGGCCAACCAAGACCTAGTTTCCACTTCTGTTGGAAATACTAGTCGAAACACGAGTAGTGCTTCCGGACTTATCGGACCTGCTGTCCCAACCGGACGACACACTACCAACGAGCCCAGTGGGTAGCTCTTACGTGCATGGAGGCTCTCAGTAGAGCCTCACATACGAAAGCTTTATCTGAGCCTGCTGCCAACTTCCTGGATTGCACCAACACTGCCTACATTTCTAGGTTGCAAGCATACACTGAGTGGTGTAGCGGAAGGGAGATTGATTCATACCATCCCTCTATTGGCCAGGTAGCAGGCTCCTTCATCCACCTGTTTGACAAACTGGGTTTGTCCTACGCAGCGATCGTTGGCTACAGGTCGGCCTTGTCCCCCACCATTTAGAACATTCAAAAACAAGACTAGTTGATTGTCCTATTATTAGGAGACTATTTACTGCTTTCCAGATGCCGAGACCCCATACAAGGGAACCGCCCAACTAGGATTTGTCGGTTGTGTTGTCTGCTCTAAGCAGACCGCCCTTTGACCCTCTCCGATCAGCACCACTCAATTTTTTTACATGGAAAATAGTCTTCCTACTGGCCCTCGCCTCAGGTAGGCGTCGGCCAGAGCTAGGGGCATTGTTCTTCTTGGATGATGTACCGCCATTATGGACAATCAAGTTGTGTCAAGGACACGAATCGGTTTCTCGCCAAGAACCAAATCCCAGGACACCCGATCGTCATCCCCCGGCTGTCAAATTTTGTCTGCCCGGAGGGTCAGGAGGAATTGCTTCTCTGCCCGGTTCAAGCACGGAGTTGCTACCAAAACTGTACTAAGGATTCAGGTGGGGTGCCAAGCACATGTCTCTGTGTTACGGCCCAGGCAGGCAGGATAGGCCGGCCTCCCCACTTCCATAACTAGGTGGTTTACTGCGACTGTATTAGAGGTCTATAATACTTTAACTTCCTCTACACAGAGCTTGCAGAGACACAAAGTACAAGCGCATGAGGTCTGTGCGATTGCTAACTCACTAGTGCTAGCGTCAGCCCCCCCCCCCTCGAACACACACTGAGGGCAGGCTTCTGGAGAACGCAGAACTTCTTTATCAACTACTACCTAAGAGACACCAAATCCATTGAGGAGAGTCTCTAGGTTGGGTCCCTGTTAGTGGGTCAGACTTGGTTTGCTGACCCAGCCCGAACGACCAGAAGGGTTCCTGCGGATAGGCGATAAGTCAGTCTCGGCATTTTTGTGGACAGATCTCTCTACCATCAGCACTCTCTGGAAGCTCCAGGTCCCACTTTTCGGCCTATGTCCTCATGCAGAACTTTTTCGGTCTTTACTTCGAAAGCTAGCTCTTTTTGATATATGTTGAATTTTACATACAAACAAGCATTACGTAAATCGGGTGTACGCATTGAGTAAATACAGTACAACATGTGTATGTTTCTTGGAATTCATTACATGGGCTATGTGCAGAGGAAAGGTTTTTGTAATCGTTTGTTAGGACCCACTGTAATAGTAGATATCACAAAATTCAACGAAATATTCAGGTGAATATTCAGGATTTGAGAGAGTCTAAAAAATTTAACTGCGTAAACATGGAAAATTACTTTTAAAAATGTTCTGATAATAATTAAAATCATTCTTTTATTTTCTCGTGACCCAGGAATGACAAATACTAGTGGGCTCGTTAGCCGAAAGAACATGTTATGTACGAAAGATGCTGCAGTTGTTGCGAGAATGAAAGAGGCTGGAGCAATCCCGATAGCAGTAACGAACTGCAGCGAGTTGTGTATGTGGTATGAATCCAGTAACTTTATCTACGGAAGATCAAATAACCCTTATGATGCGAGGAGAATAGTGGGTGGAAGTTCAGGTAAGATATCATTTTATTGGAGATGCTCGATTGTTTGAGTTACAAACATGACCACGCCCTTATTTTAGAAACCACGTCCAAATTGTAACTTGATTTAACAATTTAACAGTTAGCAAAACTTAGCGTTACAAGCAACATATTTTTTTTTTTTTTATTGAATGTACACATTTAGTAACTCAAACTTTAATGGACAGTTAACCAAATATTGAGTTACAGGTAACATAGATTTATTGTTTTGTTTAATGTTCAAATTTAATAACTCAAATTTTAATTTCCTGTTAACCGAACTTCGAATTGCGGGAAACATAAAAACGTTAAACAAAAAAACAAATTTGTGTTGCCCGTAACTCAAAGTTTGGTTAACTGTTAAGTGAATATCGAGTTATAATTTGGGGGTAGTTTTGCAAAAGTAGGCATGGTTTTTAAAATATGGATGTGGTTATTTTTTAACTCTATGTTCGTAACATAATGTCTGTATCTCAAACAATTCAGCATCTCATTTTATTGAACCCAAGCTAATGAATCAATAGTAAGGACTTCAAAGCAATAGAGTTTTTAACTCTAATTTTTATTCTGATTTTCTTATTCCCATTTTAATTAGCTCCGCTGTTGACTTTGTCGCACGGAGCTTATCATATGAGTGATTGTCCGTCGTCGTCCGGCATCCGGCGTCCGTGTCAATGTTTTACTTTTTCGACTTCTTCTTGAAAACTACAAGCCTGAATGCTTTGATACTTGGTGTATATGTACCTTGGGTAGACCTCTCTCAGATTTGTTCATTTCATGATCATATCTTCAATTCTCTAATTTTGGTGAATATTTTTGTCATTTTTGGTAAAAAGTGATATTTTCGACTTCTTGTTAAAAACCGCAAGTCCAATTGCTTTGATATTACATATATAGGCACTACATGTGGACCTCTCTCAGATTTGTTCATTTTGTAATGATATCTTTAATTCTCTAATTTTGGTGAATATTTTTGTCATTTTTGGTAAAAAGTGATATTTTCTTTTTGTTAAAAACCACAATCATTTATGGTGAAAAATGATATTTTTGAATTCTTGTTGAAAACAGCAAGTCCCATTGCATTGATACTATACATATTGTTCATTTTCTAATGATATCTTCTGTTCTTTAATTAAAATGTGCATTGCTAACAGCGGAGCTATCTCAGCCGAGAGGCTGCTTGTTTTTATTTTTGATTACATTGACCTTTGAATTGATTGGAATAAAAAGTGTCAGAACAGTGAAAAATTGAAACTCCCCCCATGTAGGATTGAAACTCACAACAGTATACAAGATAGACATGCTTTTACCAGTAGACTGTCTACTCGTTATGAAGCAAACACTGATGATAGGGTTTTGTCATGTTAGTCGTTCATTTGAAGCATTTAACAATTGATTATATTTTAAAAATTAGATCAGCTATTGTGACATAGTTTACAGTTTTAATTTCTCTTTATTCTCTCAATATTTATTTTGTCTTTGTAGGTGGTGAAGGCGCTCTGCATGCTGCTTCAGGTACGCCTATTGGCATCGGTTCTGACATCGGTGGTTCCATCAGAATGCCCTGTTTTTTCAATGGAATATTTGGACATAAACCATCATCAGGTAAACTCTTACATTCAAACCGAGCAGTGTTTTCATTAAAGAGCCATTAAACTGTACATGTTATATGCATGCATAAACAGCACCTAGACAGCTGAAAAATTAAATAAATACTTAAAAAAAAAAAAGTGAAGCAGCCACCATTTTTATTTTTGTCGGTTACAAATTGCAGGCAATAATCTAAATAAAACATAGAAAGTTAAACAAAATAAAAAATCTAAGTCAAGTTTGTAACTCAATGTCCGTATCTCCATTATTTGTGGAGCTAAAACAAAATTGCTTTCTGATTGCTTTTATTGAGATATTGTCTGTCATTTGCGTCAATCAGTTTTTATGCAGTAATGGGGGTTGATATTTTAAGCTTCATGATTTCTTTGCTGGTTTCCGTCATTCTAATGACTCCCGTGCTGAAATCAACGCCTCTACACAGGCACAATTTGAGAGCATGTAAGTTTCTATAGTAATGGTGGAAATAAAAGCTTGTATATTTGGCAAAACAAAAGTTTTGCTTGTTTTTAGTTTCAAGATTTGCAAAAACAGTAAAATCAAAAACAAGCAACATTTTAACTATATTATATATCTTTTATTCACTGCCACTCTCTAGGTATTATTCCAAACTTTGGTCAGTTTCCAATGGCAACTGGTAAACGAAATGATTTTCTCTCAACTGGGCCAATGTGTCGATTTGCAGAAGATTTGGAGCCCATGTTCCGTGTGTTGGCCGGAGAGGAAGGACTGAGCAAGCTAAAGATGGATACGACTGTAGACTTAAAAAGTTTGAGGTATTTCACTATTGTGGATGATGGGGACGCAGGTTATTGCTCACGAGTCAGTCAAGAACTCAGAGACGCCCAAGCCAAGGTGAACGACAAACTTAATCACAAATGTTGAGTTCACATTTGTAAACGATATTATTGAATTCAATGAACAAGCAAGTGGCAAATTTAATGACATTTACGATATCAGTTAAAAGTTTTATGCTATGTTCAATTAAGTTAAAGATTATACTAGTAGTTAAAATTTCATATTAAATAAAAAAAAAAAAAATATCATGTGTGTGAGCTCTCAGTATTCCACATCAAAATTAAGCGATGCATATGGGTTGATTCATCAAATTTTAAACAAAACTTTCTATTTTTTCAGGCTGCTAAATATATAGAAGAGTCGCTCAATGTCCCAGTCGTGAAGACCATGGTACACAGGCTTCGTCTCTCACTCCCGATATGGTCTGCCATGATGTCAAAACACGGTGAGGTGTCTTTCACAGATCTAATGACCGACGGTGGGCCGCAAGTTTATCCAGCATGGGAGCTTCTCAAGTGGGTCTTTCAACTCTCCAATCACACTCTTCCAGCCATCGGTTTAGGAATCGTAGAAAAGTTTGATGAGATGATGATGTCTAAGGACCTGCAGGAGAGGCTCTGTAAGGCTAGCGATAAACTCCGCCGAGATTTTGAAGAATTGCTTGGTTCTGATGGTGTTCTTCTTTATCCTTCTCATCCCAAGGTAGCCCCATACCATAATTCACCTTTGTTCACACCCATGAATTTTGCTTACACTGGCATTTTCAATATGATGGGTTTCCCAGTTACCCAGGTGCCACTTGGGTTGAATGCAGACGGGGTACCTCTTGGTGTGCAGGTCATTGCCCTCACTCACAATGATCATCTTACCATGGCTGTTGCTAGGAAACTAGAGGAAGCTTTTGGTGGATGGAAAGAACCAGTTTAGAGATATCCTAACTTGTAATAAACATTTAAGAAATAGATTATTAGAACTGAGAAAAAAACTGAAACAAATTTGTAACTTATGTACAGTGAATTTCATGAAGGCATGAATTGTTTTTGTTTTTTGAAAATTTATAAAATATTTATAAATTATTTATTTTGGAAGACTTTCACACTTCATTCCAATCCATTATTACCCATAAGTCTTTGCAGTTTCCTTCATCATTGGCTGATTTATTGGCATGCATCTGCAAATGTTTGTGATTGGTTCATTTTAACCATCATTTGAGATTCAACAATATTTATAAATATTTTATATAAAAAAATATTCATGCATTCATGAAGTTCACTAAAAGATTTATATTTGTCAAATAATGTTGAGATAATTATTACTTTGCTAATGGTTGACCTGAATTTTTTGGCTTGGTTTTCATAATGGTAGCCTAGAATTTATAATCTTTTTTGAGGGCTTCAAGACCTCTACAAAATGTGCCTAGCATTGAGGCTCAGTTTTCTTCAAGTTCTTCATGCAAATCTTTTTGAATATTTCCTACTTTGGGTTTTCGTCAAGTAAAATACTGTTTGTTCAATTGTGAGTTTAAAGTTGTATTGTCTACTGAATTTTAATTCAACCACAATTTTCTATATTTGGAATTCACATTACCTAATATGGTAGGATGCAAACATCCCATCCCATCCCTACCATGAAATCATGATACGATGACAATATTTCTTGCGTCAAAAGCTTTCAAACAAAATATTTCCCATAATGCAACTTGAAACTTTCAAATGATTGCATGACACTGATTACATTTAAAGAATGACATGTAATGCTCAATATCCGACCACAATCATGTTTAATGGGAGTTGATGCTAGGCATTTATTGTACAGGTTTTACAGACTTTGAGAAACTCTTAGATTCTAAGCTAATATATTGGTAACCAAAGTATGGTGCTCTCACAATGCAATAGAACATTATTTAAAATTCAATTTATAAATGTTTTTATTATATAGATGTTTACAGAATTTAATTTACACAAAGTATATTTTTAATTTACCAGTAAGCTTCTTTTACCAATTATAAGTGATGTCGTCTAGCTATACAACGTACTTGTATATCTTGTTGTGTATTGTTTTCATTAATTTACTAATGCACAGTTAGGTGCAGCACAGATATCTTAATGAAATTCGTTTCTATTGTAGACACCATTGACTCATCAGTAGCAGGTACAATGTCTTGAAATTGTATTGTCGGCAACTCTTGAGTAATTTAACCAAAATCCAAATCTGAAAGTTACAACAGTTATACTGATTGAAACCTGACATATTTGTCTGTCTATTAACTAACTTCACTACAATCAGTTGAGGGACTGTGCTACAATAAATCTCCTCATTTACAGCTTTAGGTGCCCGTTAAACAGAACAAACACAGGAAGTAGTTAATGTTCACGGCTTAAATGAGTTGATGACAGAAGTAATAAAGTTGTACTATAAATTCAAAAGTATTTGACCTAATGCTATACAGAAACCAACTCAAGTGTCTGCTACATGTTCATCTCAGATTAATTTTTATGGAAATACCCATAGCTTCACTTTGAATAATGATTCTCTAATACTGTATATTATTGGTCATCAAACAAAGAATCCTGCATGGTGACTCAATGACACTTTCAGATACTTATCGGTGATGTCGGCTGTTGTCAATAAAATACAAGATATCTTGCGAATACTGTAGTTGTATTTTACGCAGCATCAAAGTCTCCAGACAAAATTTTGCCAACAAAACAACTTACAGTGTAATTACTGATATTTTGATAGAATATAATGTTCTATTTATGAAAATATTTCTTTTTATGATTTCACAATACACAAATATAACATCCAAATGGCTCTTTTATTTCTTTGAATGCCATAATTTTTCCCACCATAAATTTGGTTCAGTATTTTGCATTTTTTTATGCATTTTTCCAATATTCTTTTGTTTCTTTTGGAGCAGATAAACTAAATTTCTCATCACCTACAGCTCTTGTTCAAAATATCAGAAGAATGAAATAATTTATTTTGTGAAAGTTAAGAAGCTTTGGTATTGTCATGTCATGATATGCCTGTTGCATACCTCCACCAGTATATCACAGTCATAAATTATAAATTGATATTTTTCTGTTTGAAAAAATCTACTAAATCTACCAAATCAATGTGTTTACTTTTGATGTATTTTTACCTGATTATTAACTATTTTTTTAAAGAATATATTCAATAAGAAATAAAAATGCTCAATTTCCAATGTTCCTTTGCAGCTTATACATATATAAAAAAAGTATTATAAAGTCAAAACATTGTCTAAACTAATTTAGATTTACTTGAAGTTGACTTGAAAAAGACATTTAGTATCATTCCTATGTGCTAAGACTATTTAATTCCTATTGCTACAAGATATTACATTGTATTATTTCAAAAAGAAAAACAATTTTTACCATATTTTTTCTCAACTAGTTAGAGAATTTGTTTTCCTGTCAAGTTAATGCATACACTCTCATGTATCATTAAGAATTAGACAAATACTATTGGATCATATCAATAATAAAATAAACAACTTTTTAGCTATGCTGTCAACTTTGTCGAGCGGAGCTTATCATATGAGTGATTGTCCGTCGTCCGTGTCAATGTTTTACTTTTTCGACTTCTTCTTGAAAACTACAAGCCTGAATGCTTTGGTACTTGGTGTATATGTACCTGGGGTGGACCTTTCTTAGATTTGTTCATTTTGTAATGATATCTTTAATTCTCTAATTTTGGTGAATGTTTTTGTCATTTTTGGTAAAAAGTGATATTTTCGACTTCTTGTTAAATAACCGCAAGCCCAATTGCTTTGATATTACATATATAGGTACTACATGTGGACCTCTCTCAAATTTGTGCATTTCGTGATGATATCTTTAATTCTCTAATTTTGGAGAATATTTTTGTAATTTTTGGTAAAAAGTGATATTTTTGAATTCTTGTTGAAAACAGAAAGTCCCGTTGCTTTGATACATATTGTTCATTTTCTAATGATATCTTCTGTTCTTTAATTGAAATGTGCATTGCTAACAGTAGAACTATCTCAGATGGCAGGCTGCTTGTTTGAACACCAATTGGTTTTCCAAAACTAGTTTGGATGCTGTTGCGAATCAATTTTCTGAATACTGTAAAATTCTTTATTTTAGCTGCAATTAATTTTTGCTGGAAAGATTTTTTGAGTGTTTTGTATAGAATTTATTTTCACTGATTTCTGATGAGTTGAATTTGAAAAGGTATATTCGCTGGATTTTATTTTCACTGAACCATTCCTTCAGCGAAAAAAGGAAAAATATTTCACAGAATATTTCTGTTGTAAAAAATGTAGATTAGAATATATTTAATATTGTTTTTTGATGAGATATGGTGATGATTATCAAAGATTTTAATTTGCAAACTTATATTAAAAAATAATAATTATTATTTTATTATTTTTAAGTAATATTATTGATGAAACACTGAAAATCTAATAGACATTTGCTTTGTACAAGAACAAATATATATTATATTAATTTTATTTTAACTATGTGTGATTTGTGTGATAACAATTTATCTGTTTTATTCAGGGTCATAGTTCAGCAAGTTTGGATTTTAAAGATGGTTACATGAAAATTTACATGCTTTAATAATTTTTATGTGAAACGAAATAATTTTTTTATGATGAAAATGTGCAATATTACTATGTGTTCTGACATTTTACCATATTTGCTCTATTTCAAGTACATCTTAAATAAAAGCATTCATAAACCAACAAATTTATTTATTTTGTGCTGGTTATTTGAAATATGACTTAATTTTTACCAAAATACACCTCTGTCATTTATATGCAAGTACATGCAATACTAATAGAGCAAACACAGTAAGTGTCACATATAAAAAAAATGCAATATGAACAACTGAGCAGTGATTATTGTGATCATATTTATTTGATATGCATACGAGTATAATGCACTGATTACTTACGCACAATTCAACACATTTGAGTGCATTTCAGTCTTAGTTCATATTTTTCAGTTTGTTGGGCAACTTTATTTTAATCTACTTGTTATGATTTTACTGCATAAATTTTTTTAAATGTGTCATTTACGTTTGATGTTTTCAATTTTCTTCTGGTATGATGGTAATGAAAATGTTAAAGAGCGGTTGTCATCGCGCTGCGCATGTGCGTGATTTGTGTTGATAAACGTAAATTTTCTCACAATCTAATGCGCTCTTCTAATGGAAATCACAAGTATGAGGTTTGACCTTTGCGTGACTTGCACTGATTACTGTCTGTGACTCCTTCGATACCTTCAAATCACCTAAAAAATACCTAACTAAAGCTTGTAACATCTCAGTTTGAACTCGTTGATCTGCGCAACAGTCAAAGTCGCCCTCTTTGTTTATATGAGACTTGTATATCTTGCGCATGCGTGGTGTGGCGACTATCACCTTTAATGTGTTGCCATGGCTACAAGTGTACCAATATAAAATAAATATGTGAAACCAGTGTTTACCCCTTAATGTCAAAATGTTGATTTTCTACAGGGTATGTAAGTTGAAATGTGAATGTTGTTGACCCAAAAGAAAAATGTATGGACACAAAATAAAAATAGAAAGATGCACATTAAGGTAATGATGACCTACTGAGAAATTTGTCACCATAAATGTGAGTCATCTTTCAAACAATATTTATCATTTTTACGATCTCAACAGATTTGAGGAGTAGGCTTTTTAGGCCTGCAAGTTCTTAAACTTTTTTGTCTTAATGTGAAATTCTAGGCTTCCAGACCCAAGGATCTGCCTTAGTTTTGAACACTATGTGGAACTACATCTTTTTAGATGATCAAATAATGTACTATCACTGTTGCAAATGTCAGCTTAACAGTGTCAGTCATTGTAAGAATTTGTATTGCTTCTCTAACACAATATTTGATTAAACATGCACATATTTAAAGGGCAGTGGT